TATTTTCATCCTTTGTATTGTTAAATAAGCCAGTTTCGATTTATCATTTTTCATCATATAAGTACAATAAGAGTTTCCAAATTTTTCTATCATAGCACATATGCTCTTCTAGATTCTTGTTTTCCATTGCTTCGTTGATATCGTCCCTCTAGCTTCTTCTAAGTCTTCCTCTCTTCCTTCTTTCCGGCGGTATCCATTCTAAAACACTTCTTGGTCATCTTTCTTCTCCCATTCTTTTTGTATGTCCAAACCATTTCAGTTGTTTCTTTTCCACTTCGTCTATAATATCGTTGTCAACGTCCATGACCCTTCTAATAACTTCATTTTTGATCCTTTCGAGTCTTGATCGTCTACAACTTCTTCGTAGGAAGCTTATATCCCAACTTTCCGACCCGTATGTAATCGTATAGTATATTCTCTTTTTAGTCTCTTTCCTTATGTTTTTGACGTGGCAACGTCTTATAATTCGATGGAGTCGGCTGCACGCACGAAAAAACATGACTCATGCGGCGTTACCTCGCTCTGAGGCGTTCCATTTAAGGTTTGAAGTGCAAGCGAGCGCGCGGAACGAGCGACAAAGAGGCACAATCGGCCTCCGCGTTCGTTCGGCAGCGTTCGACATCTGTCTCTCTCCTACTTGAGTGAGCGATGCGCCCGCGTGGACAGCTGCTATACAATAATACATTTACATGTTAAGCCAATTATTTTTGTTTTGTTTTAAATTTGTATTATGTTTTTTTGTAAAGGCGCAGGCAATTTTTGTCATAACTCTTTAGCTTCCGACGATGTTAAAATTAGTTTGGTAGTAAACAATCTGGAATTTGGGGAGGCGGGTTTCAATGAAGTGCAAAGGAGATGGGATTTTTTACTGCAAATTGTATCGTAAAATTTTTATTATGAGGCTATTTCTTAATAAAAACAAATCATTATTTGGAGTTTGCCTGATAAACATTTGATCAAAATTTAGGCGCCGCCACTGTGAAGGCTTTCTACGCCAACTGCGCCAAACGTAATTTAATAAGTGATAAAAAAATTCGTACCTACCGAGCATTTTGACGACATGCTTCGTGGCTTGCGTTGAATGAATGCAATTGTTTTCGCGTTTATCAAAAGGCCCTGCCGCGTTGTTATCGTTCTCGCGACCGTCGACGCACACGATTGCTTGATTCTTTTTTCGCTTCAACGAAACCCGCGTCTGACATGATATCCTTTTCATCCTTATGCTTCTGCTTTTCGCGATTATTTTCGTAGATTTCCTCAGCTGAAGACCGATGCGTATGTACAATATCGTTATAACTGTCATCGGCGTGATGAAGAACACGAACGTGGAAATCTCAAACGAATGGGGAAGAATTACCCTCGTTATCTGACAGTATCTGAAACAAACCGAAAAAAGCAAAAGTTTTTTCGCATTCCTTTACCGTGGAATTGTTATCGGAAAAGCATTTAGTCCGTGGTTTCGTTTTTATTCGCGGTAAATGCACACCATTGGGTACTTACTTGTGATCTTCATCGTATGTCATTATTCCAAACGCTAACGCTTGAGGCACCGCCAGACATATCGCGAAAATCCAGATCAGAATGATGAACTTCACGGCTCTGGATAATTTCGAGAGCGTCTGCGACAAAAAGGGATGGCATATTGCCACGTATCTTTCCACAGTGAAAGCCGTTATTGTCAAAACCGTGGCGTTTGCTGACGTTTCTGCGGCAAAACTGTAAAAGAGACTACATGAGATGAGATATCAGATAAACCCACACAGCATAGTAGTAGTGGTAGAGGTAAATCAGAATCCCTGGGTTACCCAGTAACACAATTCAGCCAGTTCATTGGTTTCAATACTTTTATCTCTTGAAAATTTTGGCTGTTACATGTAACTGGTTCGTGCCTATTGCTAAGGCCCATGGTTAACAGTCGAATCGATTGAATATCAAAAGAATTGATGTTAGTGTGTGGAGGGGTTTGCGGGTCTACCAGCGGCCACCAAACACTTATGAGAATACTTGAATAACTAGGATTGAAATGTTTGAGAATCATTTTGTATGAGTGGTGGAGACGAGTTCTGACACTGTCGACTAAAATGTTTCAAAAACTGTCTGGAATATCCTACAATGCTCATGATTTGTCTAGTTTGGGGTGTGTGTGAGTTTGTAGGTCAACTACCATCAAACACCCGTTGGGAATATATTGAAAATGTTCTTTAATTTGGATGTTGGAGACCTCCGGGTTTGCTGGCTATATTCCAGATTCGTTCATCTCCACTGTAGATATCATCTATAGCTAATGACGAAACGTCTGGTAGAATTATCAACCAATCAACCAGCAAACCTAGAAACCTCCAATGTCCAAATTGACTCCAACCATAAAAGTCTACAGCATTGTTCTTTGACTCTCAGGTCAAATTATTTCGAATATCTAGGACTGAAAGATCGAGAACGTTCTGGAATTTTCCAGTATCATTACATAGGTATGAGTGGTGGGTGGCTTCTAGTGCATTCGTTTAAATATTTTGACCAAAGTGTTCTAAAACCTGTTTGGAATTTCTTATAATAGTGGAGGTTTTTCTGGTTTTCCAGTATGAGTGGGTCTGCGGGTTGGAAACCAGCCAGCAAATGGTTTTAAATTCGATCCCATCAATGTGCCACGGGCAGTCTTGTTAATTACAGACCAAAATAAAGAATCTTTGGTAGATAATGATCTATATATTGTCTGTATTCGGATATGACATAGAAGGATATAGGATCTTCTAGGTTTTGGTATATGTGATAGTTGACTCAAGACAAGGAAAGAACGGATGTGTTCAACCAGTCTACGTACCCTTGAAGGAGACAAAAAGCCTCTCCAAAGATGTAGGGATGCCTAGACCAGATGGAGTACATTTCCTGGGGAAGTCCAGAGACCAGCAGCAATAAATCGGAAACCGCAAGACTGAAGAGATAATAATTTGTCGCCGTGTGCATGGATTTGTTGTTCGCAATGACTATACACGTGCCGATATTTCCGATAACACCCGAGAAAAAGATAACTGAATAAATCAACGTGATTGGGATGACTACTAATAGAGGATCGCGTTTGGAATCCCAGTCACTTGTGTTGATACGATTGGTAAGATGGACGAAGGGGTCGTTGGTTGGAATTACGAGGGTGGAAATGTTGTTTGTGAAGTTTGACTCCATGGTAATTGGCACAGAAGATGTTCTATCTGCAAAAGAAATCAGTTTATATTTGGTGATAGTAAACCGAAGAGGTAGTTCATACGACACATGGAAACTAAGAATATAGTTACTGTATACAATTGTAAACAACAGATTCTGTGTTGCTGTTTGATTACACCTCTGAATATACCAATTTTCTGTCCCCATAAATAAATTATGACGTTGAGCTGTACTGTACTGTAACGTATTTAAACATCTCGCAACTATTACTACCTTTATTTAACTATTTACTGTCTAATTAACACTTCTATTATTAATCAGTTACGATTTCAGCATTATATAAACATTCTGTCCCTTCTTCGCTCCTTCTTCTTAGCTTTGTATAACCTCGAACTCTCTGACTGGTACTGCTCGAACTCGATCTCGCGGCAACTATTTAAAGAGTTTTGCCGTGTTCTAGAATGATCCAATATGCTGTCTAGAAATTTAGTCTCTTTGCTGCAATGTATGTTGGATTGCCTATATACATACGAATATACTTTTGTAGAGTACATTACATCTCTGGTTCTAAACCATTTCATATCCATAATCATAATCAACATATGCATATACAATACTTGAACGTATTTAGTACTTACCGAAGAATGCAGCTTTAAGGGGCCATGTCTCAAAAAGATGAGTTTTCACGACTTAACATCCCACTGAGAGTTTTGATCTACACGTGGAGAATTACCATTATCCAAAGTTTCAAGAAGTTTGAAAGAGGAACATTTTTCGTAAGGATCTAGCGCGATCCTTCCAACAGATCTTTTATCGAAACAATTGATAAGTAAAATCATAAATCTGTTGAAATTTGCTACCGTTTTATTTTATTATTTTTAAAAGGAAAAAAGATCGGGGATACGTTGTCAGTAAGGACTCAAGAGAGACGATAAAAAACCTCAAGCTAAGCCGGCACTTTGGAATTAGTTTTGTGCTTTCTCTCTAACGATATTTGTGTAACTTATTTACTTACAAAATCTCTGGCTTTTATTTCTATTTCAAGCTCTATTACAACAACAACCGAAGTAGAGTATTGTATTGTGTGAGTGTTGGTCCATGCGTGAGTTGATTAATAAAGCTGTAAGTAATAGGATTTTTTTGAGAGGACTTCAAGAGATTTCCGTCCTTAATCCGGAGATAAAGGTGTATCGGTGAGAAAAAGACAAGCTGTAGGATTTTATATCGTAAAGCAAAAATATAAAACTATTAGGCCAATAGAAATAAATGAGATCCTAATTCACATTGTAATACGAAATTTTTCTTAAATAAAAAATAAAAAAAAAAACGAAGAATAATTGTTTATTTAACAATTTTTTGGGCAAAAACCAAAAATATTGTAAGCTAAAGTACAATTGTACAGTTTTAAGTAATACTTTTTCGGATGCTGCATCAGCTAGCAAGTGTGTGCTAAAAGGTCCTTGTAAATAAGAAATGTTTGCTCCGATTACCTGTATTTGCTTATAGTTTATCGTCAATTCTCTTTGGAACACTTGTAATATCGGTTTTGTGAATTGGCATTTCTCAAAATTCAACCTTTTCGAATTTTCGTGACATTGGCACTTTTCCAATTGTTGTTTGTTTTACAAATCTTAGATGTCGTCAAAACCCCTCGTCTATTATTTTCCGCTGAGATTAATGGCTACATTAACAGGAAAAGATAAATTAAAGTTTTATCTTAATCCTATCGTTATAAATTTTGATGGAAATTGATTCCTTCATTATTGTAGCATTAGTCGGAATTCAGGTGGAAATATTTAGGTAAAGAGGAAAGTTAATTTAAATTTTCAAAATCGTTTCTGGCTGATTTAAAATTTTCCTGTTGTTTGACGAACTGGAAAACGTTACATATAGTAACATCTTATTCTTTCAATTGCTTCGTTCAGAACTACTTCACATCATTTGTTTTAAATATCTATATGGAAGCGGTACTGACAGATCAGTACTGTATGAAAATAAATAAAAGTAAAACTAAAATACTGGTATGCAAGGGAAGAAAAAGTAGACGAAAGAGCGAATTTAAAGATAGGAGACGAAAAATTAGAAGAAGTGGCTGATTTTAGATACCCAGGAAGTCAGATAAGTCAGGATGGAAGGAGTAGTAGGGATATAAAG